AAAACAACATTTTGGCATTCATTTGTGCATTTCTGGCGCTCGAAGGCGGGCAGCGATGGCCAGCAGCCATTATTTATCCCCGGCCTATTCCGTAGGTCGTTAATTGGCGAAATATTTTAGTGGCACTCTCATCGATGCATTTTCCGCCTCCTCTGTCTGCCGCCTCCCACCGCCATCAACACCCAGCTATAACTGTTCTAATGCATATGCATATTGCGGGGTTTCCCCCTCGGCCACACTGCGTGGAAAATGTGTGGAAATTTATGCGTGCTGCCGAATGGTGGGGGAAAATGTATCGTTTTGGCCCTGACCAGCCTCTACCCAAAATGTTTTTCGGAAACATAATTACTTGGCTGTGGGCCGAAGAGACTTGTAATTAGCTTTTGTAATAGCTCCTGGGATTATTTGCGTCAATTGAGCAAACAAAAGGCTGTCTGGCAGTACTTAGAGAGGGGGAAATACAGTAGGGCCACAATCGAACGAAAAACTAAGAAGAAAATAGTGTATGATAATTGTGTACCTTAGAAGAGATCTTAGACCATTTGTCGTTTAAAAAATTGTGAAAAATAGTGCAATAAAGTCACGCTTATAAAAATTAGCCAACATTATAGAAAATTCATTAATTTATCGGATAAAACTATTTCTCTTTTGAAAATCGCGTTGGAGAAGCTCTTAAAGCAGCAGTAAAGTCGAACAAGCCTATGGTATCTTTCTATAAATTCATTTTTATTGATGTTTAAAAAAGAGGACCCCAAAAAATGCTCTGTGGCAAGGACTTCCTTCCAATCCTTCTATGAAGCTCTCACTGTACGAATGCCTCAACTTTGTCTAGCCCGCAGGTTATTTTCTTAATATAAATGTTGCATAGCTAATATCAGTGGCACTTTTCTCCACCGCCTCCCCCTACTTTCTCCCGGTGTCTCTGTCTAAGCTTAACCCCTTTCAATCAGCGAGTTGTGTTTTTCTTGCCCTTTTTCCCGCTAATTTCCTGCGCTCTTTTGTCAAATTAAAAACACACACACACCCATACACCCAGACACCCATCCAGAGGCCACAGGGAAAAGTTTTGCCCCTTTTCTCAGCTCGCATTTCAGAGATTTCTCGGCTTTCTCCGTGCGCTTCTCAGTTTCTCTCTGTTGGATTGTTTGCCTGTTGGTTGGGTTCATTTATCATGATTTTGTTTGTCGAACTTTGTCGCGTATGTTTTCCCCCCACCAGCCGTCTCCTGCCATCTCCTGGCATCTCCTGGCATCTCCTGGATAGGCGGAAAAGTGTCTCCTCTGTTGTTATACCCTTGCAGAGGGCATTCCGAACGGGTATATCCTTATCCACTTGGGCTTTCCGAACCAAAATCTGGCATCAGGGCATATTCTAGGGTATCCAAAACTTCAGTCCCCAAATCTATCACTTGCTGTCTTACCATTGTTGTTCTTGATTTGAATGCCAGCAGCAAATGGCAGCTGTTGATGGTCCTTCCCGTCCCACTCTTCGCCCAGCAACAGATCCCCAGCCCTTCGGAAAGGTCTCCTCCTTGTGTCAGGAGTTTTCCTTCGGTTGGGGCGGGTGGGGGGGCTCACTTTTTGTTTGTCTTTTTGTCAGAGAGAGCGCCGAGCCGAGCCGAAATTGCAAAGTGATTACTTTTGATTAGTTGCAAAAAGAAACGTAATTTGTTTATAGCTTTTGCTGTTGCTGTTGCTGCTCTGCTGATAAATGTAATTTGGGCCCAAAACTCGCTGATTACAACAGAAACAATGGCTAAAACAATGGAGAACAAGGGCTAACGAGCCGAGGAATCATGTGTGGAATCGTTTGATGTGTCTGTCTTTGTTTCTTGGTTGATTGTGCAGCAGCAGAATCAATCCAAATCCACATCCAAATCCATATTTAAGCTGTGAATGCGGAAAAGGCATCAGTCTGCTTGTTCCCGACTCGTTATCCCGGGAAGTGATCCTATTATTTCGCAGCAAGCCAGAAGAAAGGTGTTCTTACTCACAATATACCCCCAGAGCAACTGGCACTGCAATATGAAAATATTTGTGATGGCACAAGTTTTTCGGTTCAGCAGAAGCTAAAAAACGTGGCCATGCTTCTGCATGACTTTCATTACTGATGGAAACGTATTCAGATTGTTTGTCTAGGATGGAGATGGCAGTGGCGTCTGAAAGTGGGGCAGGGCAGCCAGGAGAAAGGGGGTTGGGGGTGGGTGTGGGTGTGGGTGTGGGGGTGGGGGGCAAACTTAATCTAGGAGCAACCGAGCTTACATTTTTAAGCAGCGACAGCTGCTTGCATGCAAAATTATGACTTAAAGCGCAGCTGGGGCCAGCGCCAGAATGTACTCCCACTCGTAGTCGTAGTCGTAGTCCTACTCGTACACTGGTACACTTCTAACCAAGCAAGGAACCACTCTGTCCTACACACACGCAGAAGCAGGAGCAGGAGCATGAGCACAAAAGGATAACATAGAAGTAAGTTATTCATTGTGCACGCAAACATTACGGAAGTCATATGTTAAAGGCAGGAGAGCCGGAGAGCCGGAGAGCGGGAGAGCTGTAGAGAACCGAGGCAAAAACCTGGCTAAAAGGTAGCAAAAGGTAAAACCAGCAGGCTCCCGCCTCCACTTCCTGCCCCCGCCCCCCCGCACAGCATGAAAAGCTGGCCAAGTTTTTGCCGACTAAAAGAAAAGAAATATGAAATATGACTCCAAGTCGAATTGTGAAAACTTGCAGAAAGGTACGAATAAGCATATCAAGATCATAAATAAAACACAGTGCGAGCGAGAGCGAGATAGCGCGAGAGAGTTGGGAAATTAAATTTTCGACTAGGAAAACCCAACCGAAAACATGGCTACCCCTAACCCCACCCCACCCCCACCCCACCATGGTGTGTGGTGTGTGGTGTGTGGACTGGGAGTGCACATTGCTAATATACGCAACGCGCGCTGCCAACTTTGATTTGCAAATAAATTATTTCGTTTCGTTTCGTTTCGTTTGCTCTTTTGCCTCCGAAATGAAAATCCTGCCCAAAAGACCAGAAACATGGAGGCCAGAAGGTAAGAAGGAAAGAAACAAAAACAGGTGAGGAATAGCTGGATAAATGTACAAGGGTTTTTCAATAGGGGTCTATGGGGTATACTGGCTATAGGGAGAGGAGACCTTTCAGTGGACATATGCACTCCCCCTGCACTCCTCAGGTATTTAATGGCATTCACAGAGAAAGGGTTTCTCCGCTTTAGGTATCAGCCATTCCACACCTTGACCATCGCCAGCCCCTGTGCCAACCTCCTTCCCTGTTCCCTTCCGATGCCACCCCCCCAATGGTTCCTCCCTCTCCTACCCTCACCTTGTGCCTTTACCCCGCAACATTCTAACCAGAAAGTTAACTTGAACTTAAAATAAAAGTTTTCTACGTTTTTTTTTCGGTTGGAATTTTCGTTTTTGGTTTTTTCCTTGGCGTTCCTTTCCACAAAGTCAAATATCATAAAGTTCGCTACGCCTTTTTGCATATTTTATTTGCGCTTATTTCCAAAAGCGAACGAACGCGGCAAGACGAAGACGACGATGAAGCAGGAGAGGGGCAGGAGAGAGAACGAAAAGTTGCGGTGGCTGCTCTCATTTCTGATGCTCGCACTGCTTGAGTCGAGTCTGTATGACACTGCTTCCACAGCACAGGCTTTATTCAGTGACGCGTATGGTCTCATGGCCAGACATTATTTAGAAATATGTATGTATATAAAAATATACAAAAAAAATGCTAAAATTGGTAATATTAATTGGAAAGATAACATAAGTCGGTCTATATTGACTGAACTGCTTTAAGGATTGCCCTACGAAGCGTAGTTGTTGGCTAACTAATTTATTTATACATACAAAATAAATACCATTTTTACGCAAGGATTATGCAAAATTATAGAAAAATAATCCGAAAAAATTGAATGGAAAAACAGTTGGGCCTGAAATCCACTGACAATCTATGCCGCAGTTGCAAACGACTGGTACAAGCAGTACCACCAGTTAGCAAGTAGTATTTGTCTGTGAAGTGAAGAAGCAAACTTCTACTGCTTAGCAAGCAGTAAACCCATCTGAGAACTGCTGCCTTTCTGCCTCCAACCACTTTACTGTGCCATAGGGCTTTTTAATTAATAAATTTAGTCATTAACTAGAATGTCATACAGCCTCACCGCTGCGCTGCCGCCTCTGCATCTTTTATTCCCGCCGACGCGACGCCGCTGCTGCTGCAGATGTCGCTGCTGGCTTCAGTCAAGGTTTTCACATCTTCCTCTCATCCGCGCCATTCCTCTTTCTCACTCACTCTCCCTCCCTCTCTCTCTTTCTCATTCTGTCTGTTCGTCTCCCTTCTTTTGGCAACAATTAAATTATTCAACCGAAATTTGTTGAAGCTCCCGAAAAAGTCACGCGCACTTGACGGCAACAACAAGAACAACAACAACAACAAAAACAATAGCAGCAGCAGCAGTTTCCGAAACTAACTTTTGCCGCTTTTACCGCTTTCGTCGCTCTCGTTGCTCTCGCCGCTCGCGTCAGCGGCTACCAGTGCCGTTGTCGTTGTTGTTGCTGTTGCTGCGCTCTCGGTTCGGTTCGGTTCGCTTCGGTTTCGGTTCCAGTTCGGTTCGGTTGCCGTTGTCTTTTATCCTAGGTCTCGGTTCAGGTTTTTATTTTCCAAATGAAATGAGTTTGAAGTGCATTTGACGGTGGTCGCCAAAGTTCTGGCGTGCGCCTTCTTTTCAACATCAGTGGGCGTGGCCTGCAACTTTTTCGTTTTTGTTGTTTTTTTTCAGTATAATTGTTGTTTCAGTTGTTGTATTGAGCATTTTAATGGAAAAGTTTGGCAGTTAAAGGCGCTTTTCCACCGAATGGTATTTTAAAAGCTTTCCCAGAAAGGAAAACCAAACTGTTGGAATGCCAAAAACCAATTGAACAATTTTTTGAAATGCATAAATTTGATATTTCGTGATTGGTTTTTGAAAAGAAGAAATCAGATCATTTTTGTTGATTTTTACCAAATTTTGTATCTTTATTTTTGATGATGTCCAATCCTGCTCCGAAGCGATCTGCAACAGGGAAAACACATACATACTACATACATATGTATGTATGTATGTACATAAGCATGTACCATGGATGGATAATTACAAAGTGTCGGAATCCTTAAACTTGTTCCAGTCTTTGTCGGCAAATTCGATAAGCATGGAGTAGACTTTGCGCACCTCGCAGAGAATTTCGAAAATATCTTCGCGGCACTCCTCGACGCCCGGATAACGCGCCACATCTGAAGGGCGCCTGGCGCGCACGGCGTGGAACTTCGAGATCTGTTTGAAGCTGTCATTGGCCTCCGAATGGATTTTCCCGATTCCTTTCTGGACATCGTCGAGGATGGAGGCGGCAAGGCTGGTGCTGTACACGTTTTTGTCTATCATGTACGCTACCCACTTCTTTATGATGGTTGCTGCAAGCAAAGGCAACAGTTAGTAGGAGTAGGTGTCCCCAGCAAGATGTGCCACGCCCTTCACTTACCATTCGCTAGCATTGCTTGGACGATGGGCTTGGCCGCTTCGACAATCACCCAGACCGCCTTAGTGCAAGGAACTGGGCACGAACACTTCTTTTCAGGCTGATCATGGGAGCCGCCATCGCCTTGACCTTCGACCTCGACCGGAGTGCCTTGCTCCCGCTCGACCTCTTTGAACATCGGCGAGTCGAGCAGCTCGTTAAGCTCGACAATCTTCTGCGGGAAGCCCTTGGCCAACAGCTGCGTTCCACCTTTGGTAACGAACACCTTAGGATACGGGATTGCGTTCTCGGACATCGACGACATTGTCGTGAGTATTGTAATTGCGAGATTTGTTGAAAATGTGCAACCACACGGCAATGAGAAAATTTTGGAGGTGTTATTTGGGTATTGAGTGCACTTAATATGTGTGATTTTCGAGCTATTGCCTGAAAAGTTGTCAATTCTAAAGCCGATGCTATTTATTCTGCCACGTGCCTACTATCGCCCAATCTGGAGATGGCAGAGTCAACGATTTCATATATCGATGTTTCGAATAGAAAAATTGTATGTGCTCAAATGCGCAAAAATGTATTGTCAACTGAAATAAATATAAACTTGACTACTAGCTCGATTTCGATCCTGCTGCTTGTCGATTTAAAGAAAATCCAATTCGTTTTCTACAAGCGCTAGTGGGTACTCCAGCTATCGTTGTGTTTGCCATTCCTATCCGAGTACTCACCTGTCATCGCTAGCCTGTTGTGGAAAATATTTTAAGCCGAATAAGCGCTGCTATCGTCGGAGACTGGTAAGTTATCGGAAAACACATAAACATAAAATTACGATTTACTGTACACAAAGCCCTCACCTCAACTGTTTCATTTGCAGACAAGACACCAATAGAGGAATCCATCCAAGATGTCGCACACCATTCTGTTCGTTCAGCCCGGGGCTCGCCCGGAGACTCGCACTTACTGCGACTACGAGAGCGTCAACGAGTGCATCGAGAGCGTGTGCAGGTCCTACGAGGAGTATCTGAAGCGCCGCAACCCCAAAAAATCGACCATTACGTACGAGATCAGCCAGCTCTTCGACTTCATCGATCGGCTGAAGGACATCTGCTGCTTGGTGTACCAGAAGACCACCAAAACCTACGCCCCGTTCAACAAGGAGTGGATCAAGTCTAAGATCCAAGAGCTGCGTCGCGAATCGGCGCACAGCGCTTGAGACGAGTCCAGGGATGCTGCACGACGAAGTAACCAACAAAAACACACGCAAGACAGTGAACACACCACACAGAAGGGGAATCATCCGGGGGCAACACATAATCATCATAAGCAGATCAATGACACAATAAGAATTCAAACAGGAACCACAGTCACACCAACAATCAATGAAATGTATTCCTTACTTAATAAGAAATAATATAATGTAGAAACATAATACTGAATGGGTATGACGGCACTACCGTTGGCTCCATGCAGATCAGTACGTCCTTGTAGACCTGGAAAGAAAAAGTAGAACAAAATAAAGACGAAACGATTGTGTGCCAATTGGTCTCAAATATCACATGTCAATGTTCTTATTAAACAATTTGCCCACTCTTTAAATAATTGCGAAAGAGATACGTTTATGTGCCCGTCTAGATTTGCTTTAGGCAGCCAATTCGTTGAGCACTTGAGCACGTTGCGGACATCCTCTGTGGGGAAATCCAAAGTAGCTTCTATATATGCTTCACCGATCTGGCAGCCCAGTGGAAACCCGGTTTTATGCACATTCCAAATATTTTAAGGTGTTAAAATGTCCAAAAACCCCAGTAAAGAGTCGCCATAATTCCTCAAAAGAACTACAAAGACTCTGAACGGCTGTGGCAGCTCGTTTCTTTACTTGCCAAAAACTTCGGCCAATGGCCGTGGGCCTGGCAGTCCCGCCGTATGCTTATGAGGCTGCACCAAGCTCGACTTATGGTGCACGTTCATTGGGCTCTCCACCAACCTGCACTACAGACTCTTTACCGGTCGATAATACACCGAATTTAAGCAAAGCTCAATAGCGTGATTAAGCGACAACTTTTAGAACAGCTTCGGTTTTCCACTGCAGCCTCAACCTTTCTATGGCGGCTCAGGCACCCAGGTCTACTAGGACGTAGGGATGTTCTTAGAGACAAAGGTAAGCTAGTTTCTACATTATATTATTTCTTGTAAAGTAAGGAATACATTTCATTGATTGTTAAGTGCTTCAGACGATGTTGGATGTGGCTGTGGTTCCTGTTTGATTTCTTCTTGTGCCTTTGATGTGCTTATGATGATTTTGTCTTCTATTTGGAGCATTGATTGCCCTCGGATGATTCCCCTTCTGTGTGTGTTCACTGTCTTTTGTGTTGTTTTGTTGGTTACTTCGATGTCCAGCATCCCTGGACTCGTCTCAAGCGCTGTGCGCCGATCCGCGGAGCAGCTCGTAGAGCTTAGACTTGATCCACTCCTTGTTGAACGGGGCGTAGGTTTTGGTGGTCTTCTGGTACACCAAGCAGCAGATGTCCTTCAGCCGATCGATGAAGTCGAAGAGCTGGCTGATCTCGTACGTAATGGTCGATTTTTTGGGGTTGCGGCGCTTCAGATACTCCTCGTAGGACCTGCACACGCTCTCGATGCACTCGTTGACGCTCTCGTAGTCGCAGTAAGTGCGAGTCTCCGGGCGAGCCCCGGGCTGAACGAACAGAATGGTGTGCGACATCTTGGATGGATTCCTCTATTGGTGTCTGCAAATGAAACAGTTGAGGGCTTTGTGTACAGTAAATCGTAATTTTATGTTTATGTGTTTTCCGATAACTTACCAGCGCTTATTCGGCTTAAAATATTTTCCACAACAGGCTAGCGATGACAAGTAGGTACTCGGATAGGAATGGCAAACACAACGATAGCTGGAGTACCCACTTCTACGCTTGTAGAAAACGAATTGGATTTTCTTTAAATCGACAAGCAGCAGGAACGAAATCGAGCTAGTAGTCAAGTTTATATTTATTTCAGTTGACAATACATTTTTGCGCATTTGAGCACATACAATTTTTCTATTGAAAACATCGATATATGAAATCGTTGACTCAGCTTGGGCGATAGTAGGCACGTGGCAGAATAAATAGCATCGGCTTTAGAATTGACAACTTTTCAGGCAATAGCTCGAAAATCACACATATTCAGTGCACTCAATACCCAAATAACACCTCCAAATTTTTCTCATTGCCGTGTGGTTGCACATTTCAACAAATCTCGCAATTACAATACTCACGACAATGTCGTCGATGTCCGAGAACGCAATCACGTATCCTAAGGCGTTAGTTGCCAAATTGGGAACGCAGCTGATTGCCAAGGACCTACCGAAGGAGATTGTCGAGCTGAACGAGCTGCTCGACTCGCCGATGTTCAAAGAGGTCGAGCAGGAGCAAGGCACTCCGGTCCTGCCTTCGGCTGGCAAGGCGGTCTGCGAGATGATGGAAGTGGTCAAGCCCATCCTGCGCACTCTGATAGCGAATGGTAAGTAGTATATCTTGCTGGGGACAGCTACTCCTACGAACTGTTGCCTTTGCTTGCAGCGAATCTCTTCAATCTGTGGGTATCGTCAATGATACCGGAAGGAGTGTCCGGTGACAGCCTTGGGGTCTCCATCCAGAAGCATCTCCAAGAAGAAATCGTGAAGGTCCAGTCAGAGGCCGATGCCTACTTCGAAACGTTTCCGAAGTACTTCGAAACGCGTGCTAAAGCCGCTAGAATAGCGTCCGAGTATCCGCACGTGGAGGAGTGCGGACAACTTGTGGTCGAGATGGACCAGATTAATATATTATTTCTGCAGAACATTGTCCGCGAGGTGCGCAATTTCTACTCCTTGCTCCACGACTTCGGCACTAAGAACTGGGACAAGCTTCAGAGCGGCCAATCGTCGAATACCAACGGCTATCACTGATCCACGCATACAATATATACTAAACACACTCGTATGTACCCTTCTTAGTATTCAAAGTGCGGGGTCAGCTCTGTAGAGGAGTTGTTGCTGGATCAGTGGATCGATGAATCTTTCACCCCGAAAGTTTTTGTATGCAGATTCGAATTAGATGTAGGATTTTTGGGTTAGGGCTGGTTTTGTGAAGATCAGCATTAGAGATCTTTTTAGTTGAAAGGAAGGAAAATTCTTTATATTCGTGTGTTTTTGGCCTTCATCCGTGTTTCCATTTTCATTTATATCTGTTCGTTGACGATTTTTCTGACCTGTTCCTAATCCTTCAGTGGCGTCTCTGCTTCTGCTTCATTCAACATTCGATTGAATCTTTCCTTTCACTTGCAGCTCTATACCTAGCCCTCTCTCTCTCTCTCAAAGGGTCTCCTGCATGTGGCACTAGATTCCGAGCACTGCGTCCCTCTCCTTTGGTTTGTTGACTGCATTGCACTTTAGCACCAATTCACACTCGGAAAAAGACAGGAGAAAGCAACAGAGTATGACAGAGAGACACACAGCAAATGGAGACAGAGAGAGAGAGAGTCCAAGAAGTGAAGAAAGAGCCAGCTCGAAAAGGGACGCCGGCAGACACTTACAGGCACACAGACACACACTCGTCATCTTGTAGTTTTTCCAGCTTCTCCTTTTCCGGGCCTAATGGCGCATCGTGGTCTAGGCCTCCCACATCTGTCGCTGTCCTACGTGTGTTTTTTAGCAGCTTACAGGCGTTTCCCCTCAGAAGTCTCCTATGAAGTGGTGCTCCCATAATCGCAAGTGTTCAAATTCAAGAGGATAATACTTTATACTAATTTTAGTAATGGGAATATTTCCCATCTTTTACTTTACTTTGCTTTATTCACAATTATAAGTTTCCTAAGCACTTGTATAGAATAAGTTATTGGAAAAATCCTACCATCCAGTGGTACAGCAAGTACATATATATGATGCTGATATATTATGTATAACCATTTCGGATCCATTTGTTAATAATCTAAAATATAGAAATGCTATAACCGCATCATTTCTTTAATTACATTGCAGAAAGAAGTACATTTGCTCTCTGTATTACGATTATTGTCCAGGTTTTGGCCAGCACTTTGTGGGCACAACCGTTCCATTCGTCTCTAATAACAAGGCCAAGGCAATTCGCAAGAAGACAGAGACATTGCTCTAAAATTCCGGCCCAATTTTCACTCTTCAAGACGGAGGATACGGAGGTGTTCGATGGAAGCTTCACTCCTGCAGTGGCTGTCTCTCCTGATATGTCTTGCACTTTCCTGGCGCTCATGTAACTATATTTGGATGCAGACATGTCCCTGGGAGGACGTCACTGCATGACGTCTTGGGAAGCCAGGCTGTCGTCCTCTCTCTTCCTCCATCCTGGGAATCACTGGGATATGCTTTGATCTGCTTTTCGCTGGGCCATGACTGGGCATTGTTCCACTCGGGCTGCCAAATAAAAATAACTTTATTTACATATTTTATTTATGCGCTTCATTAAACCTTTAAGTCGCCTTTATTTACGAGTATGTCCCCCCACCCCACCCAGTCCGCTTCGGGGGCATTGTTAATATTAATATTAATATTGAATTTATTTTATATCATATTTGTCGGAACGTGCATATATTTTATGCACAATAACAATGTGTTGATGATGTCCTTGTTATTGCACACAGAAGAGACAGTATGTCGAGAGAGTATTCAAATGGGGGATTGATACCCGAGCATTGAACCATGGTTATAGCTATTAAGAGTAGCCGAACGATTCAGGAACGATACAGAGTCCTTTCGGAGAGCAATCGCTTCGATTTACTCCAACAGATTCGATGCCAAGAGTTCTCCCTTCCGTGGTCCGAAAACTAACCAGACCCACTGTACCCATTGTGTTCGAAGTGAATTGGCTGACTCGGGCGTCCGATGTCGTCCTGGTGTCGCATAAATCGCACTCAATAAAGCATATAGAAGGCATAAATTATATTTTGCCTGCTCGGAATTTTCATTAAGCCAAGTCCCAGACACAGTCGGCGGCAGACAGAGACAGAGACAGAGAGAGAGGAGAGGGAGAAAGGGAAAATTGCACAAATTAAAGCTCTTGAAACTTTAATGCAATTTCAGAGCCTCAACTTATTCCAGCTCCTCTGCGTTTGAGTCTTGCTTCACCGCCAGCGCCAGCGCCACCGCCTCTCAACCTCCTCCTCCTCCTCCACCCCCACCTCCTCTTCGACTCGACTTGTGCTTCCTGCCATTTCTATTTTTATTGTATTGGCCTGGCCAAAAAGCAACCGACAGCCACCGACAACAACAACTCTCCAAAAAACAACCAAAAAATTAATGAGCGCAATAAACATTTTAAGTGGAATTGTTGGTGAAGTTGTTAATTTTTAGTGCAATTTATAATTTTATTTTCCGCCGAGCGAGTGTAATAAAATTGTTTGCGGGTAAAATAGGGGCAGAGAGAGAGAGAGAGGGGGGAGCGGGTTAGGACTAGGAGCATCGCTCTCCTCAATTGGCATCATAAATAATCAGTTTACAAGTTAGTTACGCAGTTAATTCCTTGGCGCTTGCCTCGGCCTGTGCCTCTCGTTCCAGCTGGCTTTGACCTTTTAAACTAATTTCCCCAAAGATCGGAGAGCAGTCCAACAGCTGGCTCCAGGTCTCAGGCACGCAGGAGGCGACGCTTTGGTAGCCATCTGCACCATCTACTCCTCCTGTGACCTTTGACACCCACCCACCCCATAGCGCATCCCCTCCCCGATGCTTTGTTTATTGTTGTGTAAGCCAGGCACGACACCTGTCGGCCCATTTCTGGTCTAGTTTCGCTTTCGGCCAGCACAAAATTATTAATATTTCAGTTGCCCATCCCCCACACCCCCCTATGGCAACCCTCTATGCCACCCCTAATCGCTAGTTCTGTTTCGGGGGACCTGTCTTCCGTTCCGCTCCGTTCCGTTCCATTCCGCATTGCATACTTGATGACGCTTTCATCTCGTTAAGTGGCTTAAAGCCTTTCCTGCCCCATGCAGCAGACAGACGGGGAATCTTAACGGAATGCGTGCGAGTCTGTTGCTGTCTCTGTCTCTGTCTCTATGGCCCCGGAAAGCCCCCTCCTTGGAGCTGCCTGTCATAATTGCGCAATCTGTTTCGGGCGTTTATGGCATTAGCGGTCAGCGTGCCACCAAACAGGTCGATTCCGGGCTGTCAGCGCGGGATTTCGATGTGCATTGGATATACATTTTCAATGTGGCAAGGCTCTTAGCTGCGACTTGCTCTTGGACTCTTGTGGCAAATGGAAATGGGAATTCTAAGCCAATTTTCATATTAAGTATCCGCCTTCTCTGTTGCAGCTTCCTCCCAGCAGGCGGGCGAGGGGCAGGGGTGGCGGAATGCTCTCCAAAAGTTGGCATTAAAAGTCAGCTGTTTGACTGCAATGTGTGTCCCGCTCGTATGAATTTATGGATGAAGTCAATGCATTAAAACAGCGCCCACCCTCTGCTGTTGAATATGGAAAAGGGCGAATGGCAAAGGGCAGGGGGCAAGGGGCAGGGGGCAGGTTACCTGCAGCATAAATGCATGTCAAACATGTGTTTGCGCGTATCTGTGCGGAAGAGTCTTGCGGGGTACTTGAATGACAAAAAGGGTATGCTGTAAACGTGGAAATCGTGGTTTACAAATCGAGAAAAACCCACTTGCACATTCCACAATTTAGTTGTATCTTATATACAGTGGATTATCTGCAGATACAGATACAGTGGGTACTTTCTTCAGTATCTGCCCCATCCAGGGTACTCTTCCAGTCGGTACCCATTTGCTCTCCAGACTTTTTCTTGCTTTTAATAATTTTTTGATGAACTTTAAAAAGGCAAGAGCAAAAGCATTCGAAATAACTTGGAATATGTATGACGAAGGCGAAGGTAGGCGTAACCCGGGGCGAAGGAGTTTCGGAAGGGATGGGCGATGGGGTACGGAGACGATATGTATTCGTGCACCGAAAAATACAAATTAAAACAGCGAATATTTAAATGTATAATGAGCAACTGAAAGCTTTTTAATGGCTTTTCAATTAGATGAGGTCCAGTCGAGCCGCAGTCTGCGTGTGTGTATGTTTGTATGTATGCGGGTGTATCTGTGTGTGTGTGGGGCACTGAAATTAGCATACCACCTGATTGTGGACAGCGGCGGGGCTTGAGCTGGCAGCTAATTAGACACCAGCTGAGGCGAAAGCCATCTTCGTAATTGAGTCGGCAATTGGAAATGCTTTTTAATTACAGTTTAAAAGACACATCAGATGCTGCTGAGGCACAGAACTTTAACATAAAGGCGATCTGCCATTAAACGGGGAACCATATGGAATCCACTTCATTTAAAAGTTGAGGAAATCTGCCTGTTCTGTATGCTTGATCTGCTCTACTCCTCATTCAATCCCATGTTTTTTATATCCACAATGCAGCTGTTTGTAGTAGGGCGGAGCGAGACGGGGGTGGGATCGTAACTAGCAGTGTGTGAGTTCTCGCTTACAAGCCACGCCCACCCGAGAGCTGCGTGGGTCGTGTGGATCGTGATAACAGCGCGGGTCCGCTCTCAATGCGCTCTCAGAGAGCGCTATACCTGGCTGTTAACTGAAAGCGGTACCTGATGGCGCTAACAGCCTGTTAACCTGGGCTGCTAACAGCCACCCGAGAGCAGTGTGGATCGTGGAGTCCCCTCTCAGTGAGCGCACTACCTGGCTGTTAACTGAGAGCGGAGCCCGGTAGCGATAACAGACTGTTAACCTGGGCTGCTAACAGCCACCCGAGAGATGTGTGGATCGTGAACTCCCCTCTCAGAGAGCGCTCTACCTGGCTGTTAATTGAGCGCGAAGCCCGGTAGCGATAACAGACTGTTAACCTGGTCTGCTAACAGTACGGTTGCCCTGTTACAGCTGTTCCCCTGCACAGCATCGTTTTCCACTAAAGAGATCACATTTTTAATCCTTTTTACCCTAAAACGTACTTGGATCAGACTGAA